TAAAAACCTGGATAAAAGTAAAAGAGAATGAATCTTTAACCCAGTAGGAATGTCAAAGTTAATAAACTTTTCATAACAGATGAAATATGTTGAAAATTCAAATTCAGGTTCAAGACTGAAAAGAAAGGGAAGGAAATTTTCAAGGAAAATTATTTAATAAAATACAGCTGTTAAAAATTACATGATCAGTTTTAGATGCAAGCCAAGCTTCACTGTCCTGACAATGTTTACTTCTTATTGGAACTTTGTGGAATCTCAGTTAAGACTCAAAAAATAAGTTAAGAAACCTTGTGATAGATCTCATATGTCTCAGGGACTTGGGTGATCTGGACTTAGCTGAGCCATCATCAGCTCATTCAGTGCCAGCGCCACAAAAGAGATAATGGTCATTTTTTTCCTTGCCATATTTTGGAAGATCTCCCAACCAAACCTAGTAAATACATTCTGAGGTGTACAAAGTAAATTTTAGGTTGTTCTGAGTTAGTTAAATTATGCTGATTTAGTAAAAACAATCTGAAAAAATATTTACCCATGTAATAATCAATTCTCATAATAAAGCTACTCATGAAAAAAACTCATCAATTAGAAGATTAATGTAACTCAAAGTTTCAATTAAAAAACTACAACTGACCCATATTAAAAGTCTTCTTTATAAAGGTCAACTGCACATAGAAGAGGTAAGAATAATTCATATGGAAATTTTCCTTTGGTGCCTTGAGTGTATTTTATTTTATTTTATTTTTTTTTTGAGACAGGGTCTTGCTATTAGTTAAATCTGGCCTTGAACTCACTGTGTAGCCCAGGCTGGCATGGAACTCACAGCAATCCTCCTGCCTCAGCCTCCCAAGTGTTGAAATTATAGGCATGTACCACCACACCCGGCTCCTTGAGTGTATTTTAAAAGTGGCTCAGTGTCTGCCTAGTGTCAACAGTCCATGCTTGTACTTGAAAGAGAAATCCTGCACTGCCTTGGCATGTCTTTCTCCAACAGGAATCTCAAACTTCAAGTGAGTGGGAGCTTCTTTTCTCCTTCATCTGTATTTTTCATTAGAAAGCTTTACAAAGCTTTCTCAAGGCAAGACTTTTTTTAAGCTAAGATTAATATCTTAGAATCTTAATGAACACTTTGTTCTTACTGTTCTAAATGCAAACTTGAGGCCTTTCCTCTTCCAGCTCATTTCCAAATTGAGATCTATCTGATGGCTCATAAAAGTTTTTGCAAGCAAACTTTTATTAATTACTCTATATTATATCAAAGATGATTAGATAATTAGCCATTTAGTATTTGTTTAGCCACCGAATGTGAGCCTCACACTAAAAAAACATTACTTAGCTTATGTTTTAAAACTTAACTGAGATGGACAAGAATTTTAATATTTAAATTTATTTTAGTTAAAATAGTATCACCATATATTCAATATTAAATATTTATAATAAATTTATAATACTTTATGAATATTATATGTCAAAATATGTATATAATGATTTTAAAATAACTATTAATAGTTAACAAATGTTTATCAGTTTTTAAATATTTAAATGATATTTTTTAACATTTTGAAATTTAATATAATCTCAGCCTTAGGTCTAGGACAACATCAGAATGAGATTTTAAACACTTCAGCATAGGTGGTGTGGAGATTTTCATAGCACAACCTTGCAAGCTCCTTACATCTCTCCTGGTCTCTGATGATGAATTCTTAGACAGTCCTAGGTCAGAGTGGTCACCTCCATCATATGCATCCAAAACAGGCAGGGGCCTTAAAAGTTATACTTCAAAAAGTTTCTGAGGAGATTCCATAGACTGTAAATGTCTATGAAGAGTACTTGTGTATGTGTATGGGAAGGATGAAGGAGGATGACAGTTTAAAGACAGTGGCTCTGAGGCTGGCTACTATAGAACCACGCAGGTAATCTACTGCCCTGCTCTGGGCAAAGAGAATCAGTCTGGCATGAGCCTTCATGTCTCACTCTAATATGTCACAGGGAAAATACTTTGGGGAAAAAGACTACAGTTTCTTTTTTTTCCTGATATCATTATTTTATTAATTCTTTCTTCATGCATCTGAGGGCAAATGTTTCTTACATAAATGTAAAGTAGAAGATCTGAGACCTGAAATTTCACTCAACTTTGTTTGGCAAATCCCTGATTTTTCTCAGTAAGCAAATATTTTTTGGTATTATAACTTTTAGAAGGTTTATTTCCAGTGGTATATTCAGAATGAGTTTATATTGTAACATTTTAAAATTTTATTTCAAAATAAATATTGCACATTTATCAAGAAAAAATTCAGCTGTTCTAAGGAGAAATGCACATAAAATGTATCAATATTTCCTATTTATAAAAATCATATGATAATTCTAAGCACTCATCATTAAAAATTGAAACAATGACCATACTCATCTTGTTTGCTAGCTCATTTCATCACAATTTCTATTTTTTTCTCTATTATAAAACTTGTTTTGGTTTTCACATGTATTTTAAAGCACTGCCTATGAAAATGGAGTTTTATTCACTGAAGTATTTCAGAGATCTCTGATTGAGCATTTACAGCATAATATATGAATTCCAGAACTGTAATAACAGGTAACATTCATGACATTCTTATGTGCCAAGAATAGTAACGTTAAATGCTTAACCTAAATTATTGTATTTAGTCTCTATTTTACAAATAAATACCTGGAGCATAGGCTGGGGGTTCGGTAATTGCCTAAACCAGTGGTGGCCAACCTCTAGCATGCATGTTACTTATTTTTCTTTTAAGACAAAAGATATTAATGTATGAGTTGTTTTTTCTACATTAAAACCTCAGTAGTGTAGAGCTGGCACTTTGTGATATATATATTTTGTTGTTGTTGTTGTTGTTTGTTTGTTTGTTTTGTTTTGTTTTTTGGTGCCGGGGATCGAACCGGGACCTTGCGCTTGCAAGGCAGGTGGCAGAACCATTGAGCTAAATCCCAGCCCCCGCTTTGTGATATATATGTGGGTTTTGGGTTACAGTTTGGCCACTCATCTCTAAAAGGGTCACCATCAATGGTAAACTAATGTAGCTATTTTATAACTGTCAAAGACTCTAAGGATAAAAGTTACATTTAGAAATATATATTAATAAATACCTTTAGACATTGGAAGGTAATGGGGAGAAGTATGCAATATAGCAGTAATTTATTCAATAATATAACATGCATTTTTTTTACTGAACATATAATTAAAATTAATGTAAAGGAAGCATGTAGGAGACAAACTTAGTATTATATTCTCACATGTCATCTGATACCCTAGACTAGATTTTGCACTTGTTCCCTTTGGCAGGTGACTATGAATTAGAAGCCATAAGTCTGAATAGTTGTTCTTATAGTAGACTTCCTGGGGTCTGGTGGGTTTATGTAATCCACTATGTTCATTTTTACAACATCCTTTTGTTCAACAGCAACAGGTGAGATTTTATTTAGCATAATTTTCTTGGAGAAGAATGGAGAAATTTGGGTATACATTTCTCATGAGCTGAGCAGAGCAATTTGATTCAGCAGAATAATTTGAGTTGTATGTTTCACCCCAGTTTATTTTTAAGACATATGAAAATGAGCAATATCTAAATAGTGTTGTGTCAATGTTCTTACTTGAAGTGTTTGCTGAGCTATACATTTTTCTTTTGGGGGAAGCATTTTTTTCAGGACATTAATACTGAGTGCTAAACTTCTGCTAAGTTTAAAACAAAATTACTTAGGGTCTGCCCTTGTTTAACAGAGGTATACCATGAAAAATGTATTATTTCATCTCAAAGTAGTCAAGAGAACAAAAAAGGCTGCAGAGAAACTATAAATCAAGGCATGAAGAGAAGCTATTTCAGCCCTTTTGACTCCAGAGCAGACACATATGCATTCAAAATAAAAGATTCTTTTGGGGTTAGAGATTTTTAACAATAGTAGCTGATGATCAATGTGTAGGAGAGCAGTATATGGTAATATTTTTTGGACCACTCCAACTTGACCTTTCATTTTTCATGAAGTCCTACAATAAAATGCACATACTTCATTTTTCTCATTCACCTTCCCTAACAATTATTTTGATTTCCATGATTTGAAAGTCTTTTATGAGTAGAAGGGAATTGGAACCACGTTGTTCAATAACTGGTGGAAATATTCCAGAGCTGTGAACAAAGTAATAAAAGAGAATTGATCTGATCATTTAAAAATCTAATGCCATTTTATGTTTCTGGTTACTAAGCATGAGGGTTGTGGCCACGGATAAGTAAGATTTTCTTGCTCATCAGGTACTGAAAAATTTCCTTTACACTTGGATCACATCTTCCAACACTTTCAATACATTTACAATAATTCTGAACATGCAAATTTCCTTCATAAGATACTTTAATGTATTAAAGAATTATTTGATAGACCAGATAAAAACAACATTGCTGATTCTAAATTCATTCTAAACATTTGAAAATAGTACCTGTGCATCCTTATCAACAACAGATTATTACGAGGACAACAGTGTAACTCAGAACAATGACATCAGACAGGGAAAGCATCAGTCTGACCCAACTCTGCCTCAGGATTCCTGAGCTTGGTGTTCAGCATAGCAGTTAATGTAAGTGAATTAGAGAAAAAAACTGAACTGTGAGTGAATTCAAATATAGATTTGAAGACAGCATTAGAGGAAAGGGAAGAAACAGAGCAGTAGAATAAAGCAAAAACACACAAGTGGGTAAACAAACTAGAAAGTGTGAAGCTATGGTTTAGAGAAATTTTTAAAACCATTTTGAGCAATTTTTTCCATGATGAGAAGGTGGATATTCACCATACCCTGTTTAGCTTTCACAGAAGATACAAGATGTAACAGGTATTAGTGAAGTCTTTATAAAACTTAGATTAAAATGTTACATGTAATGAGATGTTATAAGTTTGATTATGGGGTTAAGTAACTGGAAATAAATCTAAGAGGACCTTGTTAATTTGAATTAATTAATATTGGAAACTTTTAGACATATACTCACCCAACAGATAGGAAAGGCTCTTTTGATTCCAGTCTGTGAAAAAATATATAAAAAATGTATTTTAATATATCAATTTACTATCTATTCAAAAATTACTCTTACAGGGGCAGAGAAGCTCAGCCAGTCCCAGTACCTGGAAGGAAGCTTCCCTGCCTCCGTCCCAGGCTCCTAGCGCAGAGAAGCTCAGCTGGTCCCAGCACCCAGAAGGAAGCTCCCCTGCTGCCATCCCAACCTCCTAGTGCAGAGAAGGTAAGCCAGTCCCAGCACTCAGAAGGAAGCTCCCCCACTGCCATCTCAAGCTCCTAGGGCAGAGAAGGTGAGCCCAGTGGGCACCAGAAGCACCCTCCCACCCTGGGGAAATGAGAAAACATATAAACAAGCCTCAAAAACAGACTTCCAGATCACCTACAGCAACCCCAAAGGGAAACGAGATGGAACAATCTAATACTCAACCACCTGGACTCTCTGAACTGGCAACAAAAGAGGATCTGGGAAAAATGAAATCAGAAATAATTACTCAGATAACAGCAAAGATTTTGCTC